CCATCCATCCATCCATCCATCCATCCATCCATCCATCCATCCATCCATCCATCCATCCATCCATCCATCCATCCATCCATCCATCCATCCACCTACCCACCTATCTACATATCCACATATCCACATACCCACCTATCCACCTATCCACATATCCACCTATCCACATATCCACCTATCTAATCCTTTTATTCTCCTTATTGTTGCACGGTTTCCACTTTTACACAAGTCATGAACCAAAAAAAAAGTTACTTTTACTATACCCAAGTTGGAACAATCTTAAACATTAAAGTAACTTTGAATTTATGTCACGTTTTAACCAAGTCACTAATTAGAAGCGGCCTGAATGTGACCCTTTACCATTGCTTTACCAGTTTTAGGGTCGGTGACCCGCAAATGTGAGTCAGCGTGGTGGAATCAGGCTCACGTCAAAATAATGAAATCAAAGAAAACAGCAGTTTTTTCCCTGCTTAACCATTTTTATCAATTTTTTATATTTTTGGCTCAACACCTTTTATGTCCATTTACAAACACATTCATATGAGGATTTCACTGAAAACGTTGATAAAAGGCACAAAAATATAAATTTACAGTTTCCATGGACTCTCCAGCTTTAGAATTTACCAAGATTTGGCGGCCACTTCCTCACTAATTTTACCTCTTAAACCAGGTGACCCCCTCATCTTTCAATCCAAAATATCTCCACTTCAGTAAAGATAGATGGGCAATTTTTTCATTGAAAGCAAGACAAATGAACAAGCTTTAAGACGATACCAATAACTCTACATGCCGAAAAATTGACGAGAGCCTGATTCCACCACGCTGCCTCACAAATAGTTCCGCAATTTGGCCTCTTTTTACATGGGGGGGGGGGCTATAATTATGTTCCACCCTAGGGCGGCGGCAGAAACTACAGTAAAAAAAAAACCTAGTAAATTATTAAGCAATCAAACATTAACAAAAAGACCCATTATTGTTATTCATTATAAAAAATATAATATTCTCTTATCGATCCATTTTAATGATGATTTTGTTTAGTGTACCTACGGACTCCCATCGTCGTTGTCACGGTTTTAGTTTTAGTAAGAGTTTTACGCACTTGCAACACAATAATGTCATATAAGTGCCGAAGATTAGAAGTGTTACAAGAGAGTAACAAACACAAAAAAGAAGGAGGGGAGATAAAGACGATAGATGTTTGATAGGAAAGAAGAAGCAAACCACACCAGAGCACCCACCAACCACCCACCTCGTCGTTGTCAATCAATGTGTGATATATGAATAAGATCGCTAACATGGCACTTGAAAAAGGGGACACGGAACCAGCCTATGGACTGACGGCAGAATATTGACGCAAGCAACCACTCACGTCTGCTTGGATGTACCCTCTCTGTATGGTCAGGTCTTGTTCAGGGAAGAAGCTTCTGTAACAAGCCGACTTCACTTCCTTCTTGCTGAGCAGCACCAGGCCAGGAGCGTTTAACCGTTTGGAGTGTTGGAACGGCGTCTTTGTGCACCTGTTGTTAAATAGGGTTTTTTTAAGTTTTAGTAAGATTTTAGAGTTGTTAAAGTGAAAATAAAATAGAAGCAACAGAAATGTTTCTTAGGAGAATGCTGAGAATATCGTGGGAAGGAAAAGAAATTTAAAAAAGGTAGTGCTTGATGAAGCCCACGTGGGACGCTCAATGCTAAAAAAAAACAATCAGGAAACGACAAATGCAGTTTTTTGGACTCTTGAATAGACATAAGGGTCTTAAACATCTAGCTCTCACTATCAAAATTGAAGGCAAACGAAGCAGGGGTAGGCCCAGAACAACATACTTAGGGAACCTAAGAGATGGGTAACAGGGAAAGATCAGGGAAACGTAGCTTTTTTAAGAGCATCCGAGCGAAGAAATTAAAGGAGAACCATGATCGCCGATGTCTGTCGCAAATCAGGCACTGGATGATGGTGAGAGTTTTTACGGTTTCATATCTGCATACGGTCATATGAGCGCCAAAAGGTGGATGTCAATAGAGAAGCCCAACAGGGAATCAGGCTTACTCTGCTCACCTCTCAACCTTTAACAGCACAAAGTCTGCTTCGACTATCAAGTCACCCCGAAATAGCGGGTCACAAGAATGTGACAAACGAACTCACTGGGCAAAGCTGTAGTACGCGAGGTACTTCAAAATCAAAGTCTGGGAGCTCTCGTGGCCTAGAGGTTAGGGTGTTTGCCTCTCTTTCAAAGGTCCTGGGTTCGAATCCGGGTAGCGACGGAAAAATGTTCTCTAAAATGGTCTCCTTTCACCTCCGTTCCTACTCTCTAGCAATGTTCTGTCGTCTGCTTTTGTCTCCACTTTCTGCCCCCACCCTCTCACCTTCTTTGCCCCCTCCACTGGGCTCTTGACTCTTTCTGAAGCCGTTCTACTGTTTCTCATTGGCTCCTTCTTACTGCTGTCTTTCAGCCACACCCCTGATCTTCTGGTAGGAAAGATCTAAACCTAGCCTTCTCGGACACGGGAGAAAATTCTCGGCGGTCCCGTGTGCGTGCAAGTTGGGCACATTAAAGGTGCTTTGATGGTCTAAAATCGATAAGAGTAGGCTTTGGTTGCCACCCGGGGAAAATTCAAAATTTCCTACCAACTGAAAATGTTTAATGTGTTCCTTGCGCTCATATGACCTTATTATGCAGTTTCGAGCGCCATAAAACACTTACCAAAATAAAAACAAAAGCCAAAGGCTAGGTAAAAACTCACTTGTCAAAAGCTGTGGTTAGCAAGGCACCTCAGAAACTTGGTAAACTCACTTGTCAAAAGCTGTGGTTAGCAAGGCACCTCAGAAACTTGGTAAACTCACTTGTCAAAAGCTGTGGTTAGCAAGGCACCTCAGAAACTTGGTAAACTCACTTGTCAAAAGCTGTGGTTAGCAAGGCACCTCAGAAACTTGGTAAACTCACTTGTCAAAAGCTGTGGTTAGCAAGGCACCTCAGAAACTTGGTAAACTCACTTGTCAAAAGCTGTGGTTAGCAAGGCACCTCAGAAACTTGGTAAACTCACTTGTCAAAAGCTGTGGTGGGCGAGGTGCCCATGAGGAAGACACAGGCGATACAGTCAGCGCTGAGGTTGTCCGACTGGAGCCAGCCCCTACACTCCTGCACCAGGCACGCTGCCGACTTGATCGGGTCCGACGTGAAGTTAGTCAGGCAACCTGGAGGGTGGAGGGTTCGTTTTAGTCAAGGGTTTTACGGTGCTTGCAACACAGTTATGTCATATTATACAGGATTTCCCAAAATAGATGACTGTCAAAAGAAGTATAATAAAACAAAATCCGCAGCTAAGTCCATTAGTAGAAACATAAAGGAGCCATTACAACAGACAGTTACACAATTTATTACTTGAAAAACGAACCTGCATAATATGAAGAACTTAGCTTTGGGGGGGGGGGGGATATTTGGGTTCTTGTGTGCGTGTGGTTTTTTGTTTGTTTGTTTTTTGGGGGGGGGGGGGGAGGGGTGGTCCCGGGCTTATTTTAAAATTTAAAATTTTAGGCCCCCCTGAAAGGGGGGGCTTTTTTTACAAAAAAAAATGTTGGAAAA